ACAACGGCATACAAAGCTAGTGAGGATACAAGCCAGGACAATGAGGCCAAATATGACAGCAGGCAAGGTAACTACTTGAGTAATACAAACAACGTCTGCCCTGGCTCCTTAATGAGTACTGGCTCCGGGAGCCTGGTTTCTCTCCAGTGGCCTCAGCTTCAACATACTGGGACTGGGAGCAGAGTGCTGGGCTGAGGGCAACCTAATAAACAATGTGTGCTCCAGGCACTGCACTGTACTCCTAAATGGAAGTCACCACCCCAGCTCCCTGCACTGCACTCCTAAACAGGAGTCACCACCCCAGCTCCCTGCACTGTACTCCTAAACAGGAGTCACCACCCCAGCTCCCTGCACTGTACTCCTAAACGGAAGTCACCACCCCAGCTCCCTGCACTGCACTCCTAAACAGGAGTCACCACCCCAGCTCCCTGCACTGTACTCCTAAATGGAAGTCACCACCCCAGCTCCTTGCACTGCACTCCTAAATGGAAGTCACCACCCCAGCTCCCTGCACTGCACTCCTAAATGGAAATCACCACCCCAGCTCCCTGCACTGTACTCCTAAATGAAAGTCACCACCCCAGCTCCCTGCACTGTACTCCTAAATGGAAGTCACCACCCCAGCTCCCTGCACTGTACTCCTAAATGGAAGTCACCACCCCAGCTCCCTGCACTGTACTCCTAAATGAAAGTCACCACCCCAGCTCCCTGCACTGTACTCCTAAATGGAAGTCACCACCCCAGCTCCCTGCACTGTACTCCTAAATGAAAGTCACCACCCCAGCTCCCTGCACTGTACTCCTAAATGGAAGTCACCACCCCAGCTCCCTGCACTGTACTCCTAAATGGAAATCACCACCCCAGCTCCCTGCACTGTACTCCTAAATGAAAGTCACCACCCCAGCTCCCTGCACTGTACTCCTAAATGGAAGTCACCACCCCAGCTCCCTGCACTGTACTCCTAAATGGAAGTCACCACCCCAGCTCCCTGCACTGTACTCCTAAATGGAAGTCACCACCCCAGCTCCCTGCACTGTACTCCTAAATGGAAGTCACCACCCCAGCTCCCTGCACTGTACTCCTAAATGGAAGTCACCACCCCAGCTCCCTGCACTGTACTCCTAAATGGAAGTCACCACCCCAGCTCCCTGCACTGTACTCCTAAATGGAAGTCACCACCCCAGCTCCCTGCACTGTACTCCTAAATGGAAGTCACCACCCCAGCTCCCTGCACTGTACTCCTAAATGGAAGTCACCACCCCAGCTCCCTGCACTGCACTCCTAAATGGAAGTCACCACCCCAGCTCCCTGCACTGTACTCCTAAACGGAAGTCACCACCCCAGCTCCCTGCACTGTACTCCTAAACGGAAGTCACCACCCCAGCTCCCTGCACTGTACTCCTAAACGGAAATCACTCATCCTAGCTACACTACACTATACTCCAAATCGGAAGTCACCCATCCCAGCTTCTCTGCACTGTATTCCTAACCAGAAGTCACCCATCCCAGCTGCACTGCACTATACTCCTAAATGGAAGTCCACCACCCCAGCTGGTGCAAAAGAAAGTTCCTCCACGCTGAGGGAAAATCCATTTTCTTCCACTGATTAAGAGCTGTATAAACGGGCCCTTCCTGAGGGATTTTTTCTTTTCTTTTTGGAGACGGAATCTTGCTCTGCCGCCAGGTTGAAGTGCAGTGGCGCATCTGAGCTCACTGCAACCTCCGACTCCCTTCCTGAGGGATTTTCCTGGGTGGTTTTGACTATTCATGTCCCCTTATATAATTTTAAGAACCCCAAAAAAGACAGAACTCCCTTACGCCCTCCTTAGAGCACCAGTCACCTCACACGAGGTCCTCTTCAAGACTGTGTGCCAGTGGTGTCTGCTCATGAAGTCTCCCTAGAACAGAAAACTGGCCACGCGGCTCACTGTCTACACCGCGCAAAGGCTTCCTGACCTCCTCTCTCCACAGTCTCCCACTCTCATCACCCTAACCCAGTCAGTCCTCAGAGTCACCATGCCTTCTCATTGCTGGTCGTCTGCATGTGCTACTTATTTGCTCTTGCAGGATTTATATTCAAAAAGTTTGAAAATTCCTTCTGAAGTTCTAATTCAATTTCCACTCAAGAGCACTGCATCTCTTTGAAATCTCTGAGTCCGTTCTGAGCTCTGGACAATGCAGTACTAGGGAAGAATGGAGTTCCCAGGTGCTGTCTACTCAGTCCACATAACCCATGTAACCTGAGTCTCTACACCTCCATGAAAACAGTGGCCAGAAGCTCATTCTCTCTGCATATTCAGACTCGGCACAGTCGTCAGAAAGGGTAATTCTGTGAGCTCCTAGGGGGTCCATCATTTGGGCCTCTTAGACTCTCTTAAACCAAGAAGCCTTTACCTGATGGGCCAGTTCAGTAAACATCTTCAATTCACCTTGATGGCTTAGCCTTAAATCTTTCCACCTGGTTCACTTCCCTTTATTCCATCAACACACAGTTAAGGACATATACCTGAAGGAAATTTACCATTCTCATCACTTCCTCAACCACATCACACAACAAAATGACTTGCAGAATTCGAAGCACAACATACATAATGCAGTATTTTCTTATGCTTTTAATAATAAACAATTGGTTTTGCACATTCATTGCAGGTACCCATTTTTAGCAAATGGCCTTTTCCATGTTCACACCAAACCCCTCCCATTCCATCCTGGCAAATGGTTACATTTTACTATATCATATATGCCAGCTAAATCAGGAAAAAAACTCCCCTTTAATAAAAATGTCCTGCGCGCTGTGTCCTGGTGGTCCATATTTGCTCCACATGCCTAAGGTTAGATATCCCTCTAAGTAAAGCAAGAAGAACTCCTGGCACAGTAAGCTGAAGAAGACAGAAGGAAGCAGCTGGGCTCGCTGCCTGCTCCTAAAATCTTTTCCAACAGGTAGTTTATGTGATATGCTAGAGAAGGAAAAATGCCAAATCTGACAGGTGGGAATCTGTGATTTGTTTTGGCTGTAAAGACAAAGGCACTCACACACAGTCAGTTTCTGGGCTCCATGTGTTCCACATAAACCACTGGGAGCCTGGCATGGTGGTTCATGCCTGCAATCTCAACACTTTGGGAGGCTGAGATGGGAGAATCATTTAAGCCCAGGAGTTTGAGGCCAGCCTGGGCAACACAGCAAGACCTCGTCTCCACAAAAATTTTTTAAAACTTAGCCAGTCTAGTGGCATCTACCTGTGGTCCCAGCTACTCAAGAGGGTGAGGTGGGAGGATCAATTGAGCCCAGAGTCCAAGCCTGCAGTGAGCTAGAACTGTGCCACTGAACTCCAGCCTGGACAAGACAGCAAGATCCCATTTCTAGAAAAATTAAATACAAAACAAAATCATAAAATAAAATAAACCACTGTGGATGTACAGAGCAAAAACACAGAGTGGCCTGTGAAATGCAGTAGCCATACTTGGCAATTTCAGTTGTGAAGACACAGTTACGGAAAAAAGATCAAAGACTGGCTTTAATATACACTGGATATATATTGGTTATAGAGTTACTCCATATTTAACAGTTATTCCATTAACTATTAGCCTCATAGTTAAAATATTTTTTATACCAGATAATTCTTAAAAACACTTCATGTTCTAACATTAGAAAGAATTCTATAATTGGAAATGGGACCATTTGACAATGTACTTGTAGGAAAAAAAAAACCCAAACCTAAATCATGTAGCTTTACTATGCAGCTTACGTTACACGAAACTGCTCTCTTTGCAAGCATTCTGTACATGCAATTAATTTTAACATGAAAAAAAACATCTCATGGAAGAAAACATGTAACGCTGAGTAGAACCATCAGAGAACCAAGAGATATTTCTTCTCGTTTAACTGTGATCTTTTATTTCATCTGAACAAAATCAATTAGGTATCATAATTAGGGCCCAAAACTCAGTTCAGTTTTATTTTACAGTAACATTTAAACCCTAAAAAAAAATAACATCTTGACCTGCTTCCTCTGCTCTAAGTGGCAATAATTACAATCATCTTGCCATGTCTCAAGGAAACAGAAGTAGGCAGTTGGTTTACCCAAATCCATTCCTCCTTCTATTGTCCTTGCTTTTGGAGGCCTGTTTAGTTCCTTTCCCTCCTCCAGGGTTCAGGTCATCAGACATGTTCTCCCCATCCCCTGCTCCAAGGAGAAAGTCTTGATGAATCTAAGCCAAAGTAATTCCATTCCTCTCGCTCTAACCAGGTTAGGCATAGGCAGATGGGGCAAATCTGCTAGAAAGGTTTCTGGGAAGTGATGTGCAGGGAAAACCTTCTACATCTGTATGGAAATATCCAAAGAGGTGATCTAGGAATGAAGCGGCCACCCTGGGGCCAAGGGGAACAAATAGAAGAGCTCAAGCTAATGCCGTAGACTGCATGCTCAGTTCCATTGCTGAGCTGCTAAAATAACCAGCCCGGGAACTGCCTCACCTTGGCTTTCTGTTTGGTAAGATAACAAGCCTCTTTTTGTTCTGAACAATTTTTTTTTTTTTGAGACGGAGTCTCGCTCTGTCGCCCAGGCTAGAATGCCGTGGTGCGATCTCGGCTCACTGCAACCTCTGCCTCCCGGCTTCAAATGATTCTCTGCCTCAGTCTCCCGAGTAGCTGGGATTACAGGCACCTGCACCATGCCCAGCTAATTTTTGTATTTTCAGTAGAGACGGGGTTTCACCATATTTGCCCAGGCTGGTCTCGAAACCCCTGACCTCGTGATCCACCCACCTCGGCCTCCCAAAGTGCTGGAATTACAGGCATGAGCCACTGCGCCCAGCCTGTTCTGAACATTTTTATTGAGCTTTCCACTATTTTCAAAAAATCTAGGGCGTTTTAAATTCCTGATTCATGCACATATCTTTAGAAGGAATTTAAAACGCCCTAGAAAAGAATAATCTTCAGTTTAAAATCTAAGCAATTTGGAATTTACAGGAATATGTTCCTCTTAGTTCCAGTTACTCACCATTAAAAAATAATGGTCCTCAGGTTCAGCTCGAAGATATTTAAAAACCACTTGCTCCATGAACCTTTCCATAAGATCCCAGTCTTCAATGATTCCATGTCTTATTGGCCACTGGAGGACGAGAAACCAGAGTTGTCAAACCTCAGTTCATGACAATAACAGCAACTGTTTAACAGTGGCACAGAAGAAACTGCAATATTACAGAATAAAGGTCTCCTTGTTGCAGTTTTTGTTAATTCTTGTAAAAAAACAACAGCATTAAAAAAAAAAAGATTGTTACATTAAAAAAAGATTAAGTTACATTATTATTATTGCTCATATTGTCCTCCACTCACTTCTACAAACAAAGAATCACCCTAACAATGAGGTGGGGATGGGCCAGGCATGTTGGCTGATGCCTCTAATCCAACACTTTGGGAAGCCAAGGCAGGAGTATCACTCAAGCCCAGGAGTTCGAGAACAGCCTGGGCAACATGGCAAGACCCTGACTCTACAAAAAACGACAAAATTAGCCAACGATGGTGGTGCGTGGCTGTAATCCCATCTACTCGGGAAGTTGAGGTGAGAGGCTGAGGCTGCAGTAAGCCAAAATAGCACCACAGCACTCCAGCCTGGGTGACAAAGTAAGACCTATCACTAAAACAACAACAAAAATGAGAAACAGAAAACTGCAGCTAATTACCATAAAACTGGATCTGGAGCTTAAAAAAAAAATGTCTGACAAGTTAATCAACCTGCAGTTTTCCAGAGGAAGGGATCTTGCTTTCATTTGTGAGCTGGTGTTTCCTGAGTCTATTCTGCATTCTAGGGATCTGTTAATTCCCTTCATTCACTAATCAAAAATACCCCTCTTCAAAAACAAACACCAGCACCACCTCTATTCAAACTTAAGAATATAAACACATTCCAGGAGGGCTTAGTGACTCACACCTGTAATCCCAGCACTTTGGGAGGCCGAGGCGGGCAGATCACAAGGTCAAGAGGTCAAGATCAACCTGGGCAACATGGTGAAAACCCGTCTCTAATAAAAATACAAAAATTTGCGGGGCATGGTGGCATGTGCCTGTAATCCCTGCTACTCGGGCAGCTGAGGCAGGAGAATCACTTGAACCAGGGAGTCAGAGGTTGCAGTGAGCGAGAATCCGCCACTATACTGCACTCCAGCCTGGCAACAGAGACTCCAACTCCAGAAAAAAAAAAAAAAGAATATAAACACATTCCACGACTCACAAACCCAACTTCTAGATGGCTATTTTGCATTACTCATCCTGCTGCTCTACACTTAAGAGAAGCAAATTCCTGTCTGAAGGTTACCTTTGTAGCATACGTAGGTTTATCGATGGCTTCATCTCCTATGAAAAAGTCAAGGTCATCAACTCCCCTCAACACTCTCCTTTGGGCTTGGTCAACTACCTTTGCTGACTCTCTGATGGCAATACCTTAAAAAAAACATACAGAGATTTCTATCACTACCCATACCTATTTAAATGATCAAAAGGGATAATATCCCTATATACGTACAAGTAAATTTCCATTGTTAGGGTTCCACATGGAGTCAAGGGTGCTCACAGAAATGACAATGTCAACAAGCACACAACATAATACAGAAACTAATACAGAGACAGGCTGTTCTATTCTGGTGTGATTTTCAGAATATACAAAGGAACTGAGCTGCTCTGCTTTTATGTTGACAGAAGCTACATTACTAAATTTCTCAGTTTTATCTGGAAAAATTCCTCAAGACTGTAAGCGAATTGCCTATACATCTGTAGCTTCCCAATTTAAAATACAATATAGAAGGGGAGGAAATTCTGTATAATACAGAAGAGGAGAATAAACTGAAAAATATTGTCTACAATAAAATTCTACATCACATAGCCTTAAAATGTATTTTTAGTTTAGTTATGGGGGGAAAAAAAGCCATGACTTCCCATAAAAGGATAAATTAGAATGTTATTGGTTAATATCTGTAACCCAAAAAAAGAACCATAATCAAATAACTATTATATTAAACTTCCAAATATTAATGGCTTCATAATACATTCTTTTAATAAGATCTTAACCTTAAATACTTGAGGATACATTTAATAGTAAATACTCATATCAAACTTCATTCCAGAATTTAACATCTAATGGAATGTGGACGGCATCACAAAGATTCCATTTTCCACTTAAATTCCTAACCCCTGGTCACACTCTGAGCTTTCCCAAGAGCTTATTTTCATTCATCAGGTCTCTACATAAACACCTTCTCATTCCTTGAAGGCTTCCTTGACAACCTGTAGTTCTGCACATGTGTTTGATGCTTCCACTGGCCCTTCTATACTTACATTATGGCATTTTTCAGGATGAATTACGATTGTTAAAGATTAGTCTACCAAACTAGACTGTAGATGCCTTGTAGTCAAATAACATCCATCTTTTACTGTTTCTCCAGTGGGAGGATCAGATGTCATTAATAATAATAATTTACATTTACTGAACACTCTGCTGAGTGTTTCTTTTTGCACACTATTTTATTTAAGCCTCATAGTAGCTTTTGAGACAGGTACTATTATCTGCATTTTACAGAAATGGAAGCCTAACAATCTATCAAGGTCACACAGCTTCTAAAAGACACAGATAGGATTTGCACCTAAGCAGGTTCCTATCAGAATAGTCATTAGAGAAACATTTGTTAAATTAATATTCTACTCCACTAAAATATTTACTGTGGGTTTGAGAAATGGTAAAACTATACATAAATAATTCTAATATAAACCTAATTCCATAAATACACTAATGACATCTCACTACTTTTAATGTATTTCTGATGAAAGAACAGCTCTCTAGCTATACATATATAAGTGCTAGATAAAATTTCTCTGAATTGAAACATCAAAATATTTGTGACTTACTACCTAAAGTGATGTACAGAATCAGTACAATCCTTACCAAAATACCAATGGCATCCTTCACAGAAATAGAAAAAATAATCCTAAGTTCATATGGAACCACCACAAGATACCCCAAATAATCAAGGGAATCTTTAGCAAAAAGAACAAAGCTGGAGGGATCACACTACCTGACTTCAAAGTACACTACAAACCTACAGCAATCAAAACAGCATGGTACTGGTATAAAAACAGATATGCAAACCAATGGAACGAAGAGCCCAGAAATGAATCCATGTATTTATACTCAACTGATTTTAAACAATGGGCAAAGTGTAAATAAATGGAAAAACTTGATATCCACATGTAGAAGAATGGAAATGAATGCTTCTCTCTCAATCATATACAAAAATTAACTCAAAATGGATTAAGACTTATTCAATATAAGACCTGAAACTGGTGAACTAGTAGAAGAAAATGGGAAAATACTTCATAACATTGGTCTGGGCAAGGATTTTTTTGGACAAGACCTTAGGAACACAGGTCACAAAAAGAGACAACTGGAATTATCAAACTAAAAATCTTCTGCACGGCAAAGAAAACAATCGACAGAGTGAAGACACAATCTACAGAATGGGAGAAACTATTTCCAAACTACCTGACAGAAGATTAATAACCAAAATATATAAAGAACTCAAACAGCAATAAAAAAAAATAACCCAAGTGAAAAATGAACAAGAGCCCTGAATGGGCATTTCTCAAAAGAAGACATACAAGTGGCCAACAGGTACATGAAAAAAATGCTCAACATCACTAGTCATCAGGGAAATGCAAATCAAACCCACAATGAGATATCAAACACCTCACCCCATTGAGAATGGCAATTATCAATAAAGCAAAAGATAATAAGTGCTGGGGACAAGGTGGCAAAAAGAGAATCTTTATACACTATTGGTGAGAATGCAAATTAGTACAGCCATTATGGAAAACAGTATAGAGGTTCCTCAAACAATTAAAATCAGAACTACAATATGACCCAACAATCCCACTACTGGGCATATACCTAAATGAAATGACATCAACATGTTGAAGAGCTAGCTGCACTCCTATGTTTACTGTAGCACTATTCACAATAACCAAGATATGGAATCAACCTAAGTGTCCATTAACAGATGAAAAGATAATGTGGCTTTATACACAATGGAATACTATTCAGCCATTTCAAAAAAGGAAATTCTGTCATCTGCCCCCAACATGGATGAACCTGGACATTATGTTAAGTTAAATGGGCCAGGCACAGAAAGACAAATATCACGTGGTCTCATTCATATGTAGGATCTTAAAAAGTAGATCTCATAGGAGGTGGAGTGTAGAATAGTGATTACCAGAAACTGAGGCTAATAGGGGATGGAAAGGACAGGGAGATGTTGGTCAAAAAACAAATAACTACAGTTAGACAGGAGACATAAATTACCAGAGATCTAGTGTACAGCAAGGTGACAACAGTTAATACGATATATTACATTCTTAGAAAATGTAAAGAGAGTATGCTATGTGCTCTCACCACAAAAATGGTAACTATATAAGATAATGAATTTGTTAATTAGCTAGATTTAATCATTTTGTAATGTATATATACTTCAACACATCATATTACATATGATAAAAATAGACAATGTTATCTGCCAATTTAAAAAACTAAAATCAGAGCCAGCTATGGTGGCTCATGGCTCATGAATGTAATCCCAGAGACTCAGGAGGCTAAGGCAAGAGGATCACTTAAGCTCAGGAGTTTCAGAACAGCCTGGGCAAAATAGCAAGATCCCACCTCAAAAAATGCTAAAAAATTAGCCAGGCACAATGGCACAGATGCCTGTAATCCCAGCTACCCAGAAGGATCACTTGAGCCCAAGAGGTTGAGGCTGTAGTGAGCTATGATCACACCATTGCACTCCAGCCTGAGCAACAGAAAGAGACCCCATATCTAAAAAAAGTTTAAAGGTCTAAAATCTGTTTTTAATTAAAAATATTTTTTAAATCCTTGTGACTGAAGTTCAGGAGACAGTAAATAATGTTTCTAGACTGGGCGCAGAGGCTCACACCTGTAATTCCAGCACTTTGGGTGGTCGACACAGGCAGATTGCTTGAGCCCAGGAGTTTGAGACTAGCCTGGGTGATACAGTGAAAACCTGTCTCTATACAAAAAAGTACAAAACCTAGCCGGGAGTGCCAGCTCCTTGGGAGCCCAAGACAAGGGTATTGGAAAGCTGTGGCTGCAGTGAGCCATGATCACGCCACCATACTCCAGCCTGGATGACAGAGCAAGACCCTGTCGCTAACAAAACATAACAAAATGTTTCTGAACTAATTTCTTCAAACAGTCCAGCCAAGTTAATTTTTCTACACAGCTACTTCATAAATGAGCACACAGGCTTTGAAGTTCTGAAAACCTAGGTTTGAGCACTGACTCACTACCTGACTTGAGGAAAGTCATTATTACCCTCAGTGCTCACTCCTCTAAAATGCATATACCACTGCCTACCAGGATGGTGAGTATTACATGGAACAACGCTTACAAAGTGTTCAGCGGAGAGTACGCTACAGAGTAGTAGTCAGTAAACATTATCTATACTAAATTGGAGGCCAAACTTGTGACTCGCTGAACACTGAACAGGCACCCAGATACAACCATTCCAGAGAAAAAGTGAGAAAAATATTATAAAAATATGTTTATCCAGCAATTCTACTTCTAGAAATTCATTCTGAAGAAATAATCATTGAGAAAATAAAGGTATATATACAACAATACTCTTTGTAAAACTAATTGTAATAGCAACAAATTGAAGGGGGAAACTTAACTGACCTGAAATCAGAGATCAGATAAATTACATCAAATCCTTAGAAAGAGCTACTAAGGACCGGGTACAGTGGCTCACGCCTGTAATCTCAGCACTTTAGGAGGCCAAGAAGGGCACATCATGAGGTAAAGAGATCTAGACCATCCTGGCCAACATGGTGAAACCCCCGTCTCTACTAAAAATACAAAAATTAGCTGGGCGTGGTGATGCATGCCTGTAGTCCCAGCTACTCCAAAGGCTGAGGCAGAAGAATTGCTTGAACCCGGGAGGCAGAGGTTGCAGTGAGCTGAGATCTCGCCACTGCACTCCAACCTGGCGCCTGTCAACAGAGCAAGACTCTGTCTCAAAAAGAAAAAAAAAGAAAGCGCTACTAAGTTGCCTTTCAGAATATGCACAGTGTAACTCCACTTTGGTAAATTTACAGAGTTACATGTGTGTGTTTAATGTAAATTCAGAAAAATAAGATGGCTAGCCAAAAGATTAATACTGGTTAACTGTGGGTGGTAGAACTACCAGTGACTTTTGCTTCTTCTACTGGGTATATTGGTTGGTTTTTTCAACTATTAAAAGAAAAGGTAAAGAAAATAAAAGTAAAAGCTAATCTTTTGTTTGTAAGCTAAAGCGCTGCCATCTTGACCAGAGCTAAAAATAATAATAATAAATAAATAATAAGCATTTACCCTGTTACCTCTCAAAATCACTTACCTT